GGGATTGGAACCATGGCAGTGAGATGATATAAGATGGAATGAATGTAAAACTAAAGTTCTCCCATGTAAATTATCATATAATTCACAATAAAACATTAAAAAAAAAATTAAAAATCCAAAGATGCAGAAAGCATCCAATACAAGTAGATAGTAGGAATATGTCAATGGACCAAAAAAGACTTGACAATGCTCAACCACTTCAAGAGATGGCATATGATCAAGAACTTACGGTACTGAATAAAGTCCAAGGTGCACCAAAGGCACTGGTGAAAAATAAGGCTCTAGGAATTAATGCAATACGAATTAGAATGTTTCAACAAACTGAAGCAGTGCTTGAGGCACTCACTTGTCTAAGACAAGAAATCAGTAAGGCACAAAATGAAGAAAAATGAATGAAGCAGAGAGATCTGCGTTATCAAGCTTACCAACAGACACACACGGAAGTCAGAAAGTGAAGCGAGAAAGAATACACGAAAAAACAATGGATGAAAATTTTCCAGGTCTGATGGAAAACAGTGATCTACACATCCAAGCCCAAGAAACTTCAAGTACGATAAATGCAAGATTCAAACCAGGACACCTCTTAATTCTCATTTCTCTGCAAAGAGAATGGGCCCATGTTACCTACAAAATTAAGCCTGACAGAGGTGGTTTCCCATTACCCGATCTTGCTCCTGCCTACTATTTTCACATCTACCCTCAAATAAAACAAAATCCAATTTTTTTATGTTTCCAAAAAGCACAAAGGTGTACCTGTCTGGAAAGCATTTGCTCTTTTATCTCATTCTCTCCTTGCCCCCATAATGAATAAACTCTTAGTAACCTTTCAAGAATAAGTTCAAGCCTGGTATCATAAAAGTTCATGAATGACCACCTAAGGTGAAACTACTGGTCTTTCCCTGTGTAGAAAAAAGAAATGATGGAAATTGAAAATGCTTGGAATCAACTGGTCCAATGGACTAATCGAACACATGAATTATCAGTCTCCACAACTCTGAAACCAGAAGATGGTGCCCAGCTACCACTACTCACTGCTCTGAAAGGAATCACATTAGAAGGTCCCAGATAGAGTGGGAGAAATTGTGGGACAAAACTCAAAATTATGAAGATCAAGCTTACAAATTAGAAAGAGACTGGAAGACACAGAGATTATAGCCCTCAGCCACCCTTTAGGTCTGGAATGAAACTCTCTTGTGGCCCAATTTTCAGCTAAGCAACAGATAAGGGGGACAACACACTAGTAAGGTAAGCTCACCACTGAATAGTCAACCATTCCAGATCAAAAGTGCACAATTACCTAAGGACAAAGTTCAGAAGGGTTGGAGAGGAAGGTGGAATGGATACTAAGAACCACAGGGAGGAAGCAGGATAACTGCTGGTACATGGAGGGA